GCCGCCTCCCGGCTCGGCGCAGCGGCCCCACTTCTCACGAGCCAGGAACCGGCCGGAGGCGCGGCTCAGCCGCAGCCCCTTAAAGCGGCAGGCCGCGGCCCCGGGAGACGGGCTGGGGGCGGGGACGAGTGGCCCGCTCCTCCCCTTGGCCCGGCGGGCGGGCGGGGCTTCATCCCTCCCTGGGCCTGGCCACGACGGGGGCGGGATCGGGGGCTCCCCATGGCCCGGGGGCTATTCGGGGCCCTCTCCAGCCTTGGGGAGCAGTTTAAAAGGTCCCTCCGCCCCCACCCCCACACTTGGCTTTCAACCCCACCGCCCCCTCAACACAAACAACCCTTCGGACCAGCCCCCTGCACTATCCGCCACCCCACACACGGGGGGGGGGGGGGTCACTCGTGGTCCCACCCCAAGCGCACCCCTCAGCTAGACATGCCGGTGGTACTCAGGGGGTCCCCCACCCCCACATGCATATGGCAGTAGGCTGAGCCCATTGCACACACAGACCCCCAATGCACGCACACAAGGATCAGGGGTTCCACGGCAAACCCTTCCACAGGTAGCAGCAGAGACCCTGCTGCCACACCTAAAGGGCACTTGTGGGGTAATCACAAGGTCTCTTCCCCCGCCCCCAAAAAAACCCTTTTATTTCTTTGGGGTATCACAACAGCAGAGCACCCACAGCAAGATAACCTTCAGCCACAGAAACATGAGGATGTTGCACCATAGAGAAATCCATCTCATTGCAGTGTGTGGGGTCTTGCTTGCACCGTTGGACAAACTGAAGAAAGAGACTGACAGTTCATATTGCAACAGATTGCTCTCCTGACCTGCACAGATCTTCACTGGGTGTTCTGCATGGCCACAGAGACGAGCCCCTGGGCTTTGAGATACCCTATGTTGAGTGGAAGTTTAAACATTGTTCTGACATATTGCCAAACCCCAGAGAAGTCCAAAATCATAAAGGAAAAAACTCAGAATCTCAAATAAGAATGCATGTTGGTGTTTGGGCTGCCTATTGATTTTGAAACTTTAGTGGTGAATACAATAATAGAAGGCTGAAATTTCAACCTGAAGTGAAACCCAGAAGATAGCAGAGATGCTCTGCTAGAACGAAGAGTCCTGGGGCACCTTTAAGACTAACAGATGTATTGGAGCATAAGCTTTCGTGGGTGAATACCCACTTTGTCAGACTCTGACGAAGTGGGTATTCGCCCACGAAAGCTTATGCTCCAATACATCTGTTAGTCTTAAAGGTGCCACAGGACTCTCTCTTGCTTTTTACAGATCCAGACTAACACGGATACCCCTCTGATACTTTGCTAGAACGGAGACCCCACTTTGTTATTGGCATAATCAATAAAGTACTAAATAACCATAATTAAGTATGCCATCTATTTTATTCAAAGCCATTCATGTATGCCTTGTCTGTCCAGGGTCTTTACCCACCAACGTAGTTATGTCACAAGGCTTTAGACTATATACTTAGTTAGTCCCTGTTCTCTGACCTACTGGATAAGAAACAAGAAGCTGAACTTGAATCAAAAATAATGAGGAGACCGGTGGCACCGTAAAAACTAACAGATTTATTTGGGCATAAGCAGAAGTGGATTTTTTACCCACGAAAGCTTATGCCCAAATAAATCTGTTAGTCTTTAAGGTGCCATCGGACTCATCATTGCTTTTGTGGACACAGATTAACACGGCTACGCCTCTGAAACTTGAATCAGTCCATCCAGCCTCAGCGCACCTGAGCACAGATCCATCCACCCAATCACAATATACTTTTCCTAATGCTTGCAGGAAGCATGCCAAGCTTCCTTGTAATTATAACAGTAGACCCAAAACATCTGGAAAAGGCTGCATTGTTTTAAGGACTATGTAGCACTTTGTTTGTTCTATACTCTTTTGTATCTGCTCTATCCCCTGGACTGTAGAGATATTAGTTCAAGGCAGTGATTTATTATTTTTTGGCATAATGCACCTGTTCTGTATGCCATACGCTCAGGGTGCTACATAAACAATAGCGATAACAGCTAATGTATAAACCAGTAAAGGCCCAACTTCATGCAAGCACAAGTATGTTCTTTTGTTAAACATTAAATCAATAGCATTCTGATTTATCTTTTATGAGCAGATAAGTGTTATTTGCATTTCTAGAAGAGCATTTATATATTGTTTCTAATCTTTTCTACATATAGGCACTTGATCCAGGATGTGTTGAGGGCCCTCAACTCACACTGACTTCAGTAGGAACTCAGGGTTCTGGCCACATAACAGCCCTACAGTTGCAAGCAACAGGGGCCCTCCAACATGGAGCTCCTTGAAGGATCAAGGCCACTACATATAAAACGTTAAAGCACCACTCCCAGCACTTCCTCCCAATGCCACTTGGCAGATGGAGAGACTATAGAATTGTGCTGCTTTACTGCATTTATGACAATTTACAAATGTCAATTATTTTTGAACCTGTTCATCAAAAAGTGACAAAAATAACTAAGGCCCCAATCCTACAGACTTGCACACCTGCTTAATTTAACCCATGAATAGTCCCATTGACTTCAGCATGTAATCAATATTGAAACAGGGCTATTGCTCTACAGTTACTGCAGTGGGACTACTCAGCTGCATAAAGCAAAGAATGCGTGTAAGGCCATGTATACACTACATAGTTTTGTTGACAAAAGTCAGCTTTCATCACTAAAATAGTGGAGGTATGCACACTGAAAAGCTCCTCCCACCCATGTAACTGCCCAGCTCTGCCAACAAAATAAAACCACCTCAACAAGAGGCATAGATCATATGTCGGAATAGTTAGGGCAATGCAGTGTCTCTGTAGATACTGCATTCCTTACATCCGCTGTTGGCTGTCATTCTTGTCAATTTCACAGCTCTGCTGTCGTGGGGCAAACTAACTGCTAACCCCCAACACACAGTCTGAGAGTTCTGTACAGATAGCTTACCCCATTTTCCACCTTCAAGGGACTCCTTAAATAAACTCCATACTGGAACTTTTCATCCAACACCACCCCTCGGGCCTCCTCAAATCCTCATTTAGCCCCAGAACAAGTCACTCCTAGGCATTTTTTCTTGCCTATCTTCTCACTCCCCAAATTCCAGGGTTATGCCCAGAAATCTTCTCATGCCCAGCAGCTTCCATATGCCAGCTAACCTCTTTTTGCAGTGTCCTGCTACTCTTTATAGGGGAATCAGGGGATTTCCACTCAGGTGGGGGAGGGATAGCTCAGTTGTTTGCACATTAGCCTGCTAAACCTAGGATTGTGAGTTCAATCCTTGAAAGGGCCATTTGGGGGTCTTGGGCAAAATCAGTACTTGGTCCTGCCTAGTGAAGGCAGGGGGCTGGACTCA